GGGTGGATTCTGCTGTCACCCTCTGTTGGATTGGTAATGAGAAGCCTTGGAAACCATTTGTACGAAATAGGGTCAGTCAAATAAGGCAAATAACAACCAAGGAGAGTTGGTTTTTTTGCCCGGGAAATTTAAACCCTGCAGACATTCCATCAAGAGGTAAATACATGCAAAATTTGGGCGCTGATTCTCTTTGGTTGGAGAACACCATGGCCATGAATGAGAAAACATGTAGTCCGCCAGTAATAACGCATACAGTTTTCAATAGAGATTTTACGAAACAAGACGTGACAGATCGAGACGAGCTGAAAAGGTCTGGAATCTAGTCATCCCGATGTGTTGACCTTTTTCCTGTTATGATTCACAACGTGCCTGTCACAACGCATTGGAATTTGGCGCCAAATTCAGTTTACTCGAAGCTGCAGAATGGCGAACAATTTATTCATCATGCTCGAGGAAAATATGGAAGATGTAGAGGACTACCTTCTATTACATCATGGTCACCCAAACAACGTTAATCTTCATTTAGAGCTTCCATATTTTAAATATGAGCGTTTTAGCTTGGAAGATTTGGCCGAAGAGGAGTGCTCTGTTGAAATGCACTTTAAAAAACAGGACATTTACAACCTTCTGCAAGCCCTTCATCTGCCAGAGGTTTATTGCTGCTACAATGGTGGTTGAAGAACTTTGTGTCTGTTTGAAGCGTTTCACGTATCCCTGTCGCTACGCGGATTTAGTCCCAAGGTTCGGAAGGCCTGTTCCACAGCTATGCATGATCTTCAGCTCGGTAATTGATGATATTTTCGACAGCTTTTCCCATCTTTTGAGCGACCTGACCAACCATGGCTTTCGAGAGAGAATCTCCAGTCATTTGCTGATGCAATACATAACAAAGGTGCTGCATTGGACAACTGCTGGGGATTTGTTGATGGCACTGTCAGGCCTATTTGCAGGCCAACCAGGAATCAAAGAGCTGTCTACAATGGGCACAAAAGGGTTCATGCACTCAAGTTTCAGTCAGTTGTGGCTCCCAATGGTATGATTGCTAACCTTTTTGGGCCTGTTGAAGGTAGAAGACATGACAGCAGGCTTCTTGTAATGTCTGGTTTATTGGAGCAGCTGGAACAACACTCCTTTTCCCCAGATGGTGTAGCTCTTTGCATTTATGGTGACCCTGCTTACCCACATCGTGTTCACCTCCAGCGCACGTTTGCAAGAAGAGCAGAACTCGCACCAAATGAGCTGGCTTTTAATCAATCAATGAGCCAAGTCCGAATTTCTGTTAAATGGCTGTTTGGGGACATCATTAACTACTTCAAGTTTTTGGATTTCAAAAAAAATCTCAAGATTGGCCTCAGTTCTGTTGGAAAGTTTTATGTTGTTGGTGCATTGTTAAGAAATGCTTTAACATGCTTGTATGGGAACAACACTGCAAAATTCTTTCAAGTCATCCCTCTAACACTGAATGAGTACTTCTTGTAGATCTACTTGGCAATCCACCGAACTTGAAGAGAAGAAAGATGATATCAGCCAGATGTTCACAGATAAAAAAGTTTTTTAAAAGCTACCGCATTTCCAATGTTATGTACCTCAGTAACACCACACAAAATATTTGCACACATTAGACAAATTTTTAAAGAAAGACTTAGAATGATATTTCCACAAAAAGAAGCTGAGAGAAAAAACAGGCTACCCTTGCGTACATGTTTTTTTCTGGAAGTATACTTTTATCCTGGTGTTTTTTGTATATTTTTTGTAACATTGATATGTACCTATTTGCTGTAATCCACCCACAGTTAGAAATATGACTTGATGTTTGAAATAGTATCGGAATATGAAAATTTTTCAGAAAAGAATTCATCAAAGATGACATGCAGAACTCTTAAGCTCGGTCATTAGTTTGATATTGGGTACTCCAGTTTCTTATCCTCCTTTTTCAAAAATTTAATGCTCATTGTTTCTTGAGAGTTTCTTAATTATTTCAATATTTTGGAGCCCTCTATTTGATTTTCCATTCTTGGAAATTGCCAAGCACAAATTTGTTGGGGAGAATCAATTGAAGTTGCAAATGGTGAGACTTGCTTGGTTTCAGAAATCAGAAAATGCTATAGAAATACAGCAAGAAAGTTTTGAATTTTGATTGACGTAAATGTGATATAAAAGGTTGATATTGAGGTCATACAGATATAATTGAAAGCATTGAAAATGTACTATCATACAAACCAAGAATGTTGCTTGTTTATGAATATAAAATATACTTTTAACCAAATATTTCATTAACCAGCCCCCTAAGCAGCAAGTTTGTCATCTAGCTAAGCAATAAATTTGCCATCTTCCTCGCAAACATCTTCTACACTTAACAGATTTCTCAAGAATTTTTGTTAGTTTTTAAAATGGTGAAACTAAAACTGTGTCTTGCATAGTTGATTGGATGAAAAGAATCAGTGTTCACTGGTTTGTTATTTAGTGCTTTGTAGATATTTACTGTATATGTTTTTAGTGTAAAGAATAGAACAGTTTTAAGTGGTACTTTCCTGATAATGATAGTCAGTTAACTCATAAAGAAATTCTTGGAGAACCAAGTACAGTTTCTAGGATTGTAATTGCCTAATTGAGTTATGCACAAAAGGCTAAATCATTAAAGATACAAGATACTTTACAAAATTCATGGATAACAAACAAATGATGTAAAACTCAACACATTTAGATCAAATTGATTCCTTTAAACTTTTGGAGCTTATATAGAAGCTGTCTTAATATTTAAAAATTGATATCTGTAAAAAAGGTGTTTTTTAAATCTAGTAGCAAAATAGTGGCAAGGTTTATTAAACAGAAGGTCTTGTTTAATATGTTGATTCTAGAGAGGCTTATTTAGGAAAATATTTCAATTTTAGTGTCAATATGACTAAAATTTAAGTAAATTTGTCCAACAGCTTATTGACAACATCAAGCAGCAGTTGGTTCTGATGCTGCATTTGCCCTTGCTGCTGCTGAAACATGACCATCATATCCCTGTCCCTATTTGCCCTTGCCTCATTATTTGTTTCCTTCATTTCTAGCTCTCACTTCTTAACTTCCCATTCTCTCTCCTTCTCTTTTTCTTTTATCTCAATCTCTTTCTCTTTTATCTTAATTTCCTTTTCTTTTACCTCAATCTCTCTTCTTCTCAATTCAAACTCTTCTCTTTTTAGTTGCCGATCTCTCTCAGTCTTTTCTCGCATATAGTTGATCACCTCTTTGTCCCCATCAGCCTTTCTTCTTTTTCTCCCACCTTCCTGACACTCTCTCTCCCTTGTCTCTCCCAATCTTTCCATAGAGCGTTTTCTTACAGATTCAGCTGTTTCTTTCTCCTTTTCTGCAACTCTCTCACCAGCCCTGGCCATTTCACTCTGTGCTTCATCCCTCCTTTCAATAATGTCCTGAATCGCTTGCTCCAATTCAGTTGGCTCTGGTGGGCTGATACCACTCTCTTCTTCTGACATCTTTTTTTTAAAGCCTCGTTTAAGCTTCAAAAATCGGTCCCTCACTGCTCTTTGATCAACAGAGAAACGTGGTTCAAATATCTTATTTAAAATGGTAGCCACCTTATCCCAAACGTGACCACGCTCTCAAGTACCAATTTTAAAATGAAAGAGCTCCTCAACAAGGATCTCTCTACAGAGCAGTGTGTCATACTCTAAGGTCCATGTCATTTTTGGCCTAATTAATAGAACATAAGAATAGAAAAAAGACAATAAGCACTCATATCTGATCCAAATCATGAATAAATTTATATTTGCAAATTTCAGACTAATAAACAATTGTACCACAATCAACAACACATAATCAAAATTTAGTGGCAACATGGAATATAATGGATTTCTTAATGACAATTTTCATTTTGTTGGATTTTAAGGAAAAACGGTAAAATACATTTCTTAAAATAAATGAACAGCTACTTTCAGTTAAGATATGAATAACAAAAAAATAGCACTGTCACACTATAACTTCTTTTGCATAAATTTAGAAAGAAATCATTTAGGGCTAGCCCATTAGCTTAGTAGAACGCCTGACATTATTTTTACTATTTGCCTCAACTCAACCGTTTTTAAAATCTGTAGATTAATTATACTACAATGTTCACAAACGTTTGGTTCTTTGCCTCGTGGGGTCCTTGAGAATTCATCTCACAGCTTCTTCGTGAATGGGCCTACAAAAGTAAGAAATATTACTTAAAATCTAACCAAAATACATTATCAGATGCAAAAAGAATAAAATCGCCGAATTTAACAAAATCAACATAGTGTACTTACGATTTAAATGTCCGGGTTGTCCTCACAACATAAAAATCGAAAATCTGGGTTGTGAAATTGGCCTCCACGAGCTGGATTGGAAAAACATGAGATGGTCGCGCTAGTTACTAGACTCCCCCAGCTCGTCTTGACCTGTCGCATCGTGTTTCTCAAACTCTCTAATAAGTCTTACGGGAGGGACGCAGAGTTTACTAATTCAGAAACTATAGAGTTTAATCAGTTTTTGTCTAGAATAAAGTTGTTAAGATCTGTGGCATGGGTATTTTGGTTCATTGCTAACATTAAGGCAAGAATTAAGAAGTTTGAACCAGAGGTAAGTAGTCAAGTAACGACAGAAGAAATAGAGAAGGCTGAAAATTATGTTCTGAAAGTCGTTCAAGGTAAGGCTTTTGCTAAGGAAATTGAATGTCTTCGTGAAAAAAGGATTTCAAAGTTACCTTTGATTAATCAGCTCAATTTGCTTATTGATGAGGAACAAGTATTATGTTGCAAGTCACGACTTGGCAATGCAGCTTTCACAGATGTGGAAAAAAGCCTATTATTTTGCCATCAAAATGTTACTATTCTGAACTTGTAGTGCATGAAGCACACTTGAAGGTATTTCATGATGGCATTGGAGAGACGCTAAGTTCTATAAGGGAACGTTATTGGATATTAAGAGGCAGAGAGATAGTCAAGAAGATATTAAGAAGGTGCTTACCGTGTAAAAGAATTGAAGGACTGCCATTTAAATGTAATATCACTCCAGACCTTCCGGAATTTAGAGTAGATGATAGTCCACCATTTAGTAATACAGGAGTTGATTTTGTGGGTCCACTTTATGTAAAGGGCGTAGACAAAAATGAAGAGAAATGTTACGTATGCTTGTTCACATGCGCTTCGACCAGAGCGGTTCATTTAGAGTTGATAGAATCTTTAGATGTGCCTTCATTTATTCGTGCCTTTCGTAGGTTTTGTGCTAGAAGAGGTGTACTTGGATTAATCATGAGTGATAATGCCAAGACGTATAAGGCAATGTCAAAGGAAGTAAAGAAACTATTTCATTCCCCCAAGCTATACGAGCATCTCACAAGTCAATGTCTCAGGTGGAAATTCATTGTAGGAAAAAAGTCCATGGATAGGTGGTTGGTGGGAGAGATTAGTTAGAAGCGTGAAGCGTTGTTTGATCAAGAATATAGGACGCGCATTCCTAAGTTTTCAGGAATTAAACACCATTTTAGTTGAAATAGAAGCTGTCATAAATTCAAGGCCACTTACCTATATGCATCTTGATTTAAGGGGAATATCGTATCCTTTGACACTGCCACAACTTGTAAATGGAAGAAATTTAGCACAATCTTCTAACCATAGACATGCAGAAATTCTTAGCACATATGAAGCCTGGTCCAACAGGCAAGGTACCATCATAAATTGTTAGCAAGATTCACTCGGCGTTGGAAAAAGGAATATCTTGTAGGACTTATGGAAGTCTTTAAA